ACTACTACTACTACTACTACTACTACTACTACTACTACTACTACTACCTTCTTCTACCACTTGCTTCCTACTTACTACCTAGCCCCTACTACTACCTGTCGCCTATTACTACCCAATACCTACACCTACTACTACTGCTACTGCTACTGCTACTGCTGCTACTACTACTACTACCACCACTACTACCTACAGTACCAATTTTGGTCAACTTCGTCAACCCACGTATGGCTGGAGTAGTGAGTCGTGCATTCAAAGCCTCGCTTCAAATCCCACATGCGGTCTACTTTTTGGAAGCGACCAAAAACAAAAGGACAGACTGATGCATCCGAGGTGAGTGTGTAAAACTTGTGCCCCCCCCATCGCTGTGACTCATCATGCTCAATTGATATCAATTGGGCAAAGCCAGGGTCCGAGTCCATCCACCCCCACTGCCACCGTGTCAGGGTGTCAGGGAAAGCATGAGGTGCAGTGGGGGTGGAACCCTCGAAGAAATCTAGTTTTCATTGGATGTTCACTCTACTGATTGTGGTTTGATGTGCTGTGATGCCTGTTTTGTGTTGTTGATGTTGCATTGCTTGCTTCTGTGTTTGAACTGCTTTATGTACAAAGGGGTACGGGACCTGACTCACGTTGCGGTTGCTCAGTTCGCTGTGTGAGAGTCTATGCATGTGCCCTGAGCAGCACAGAAGGTCCACGGCCGAACTGTAACTTTGGCTTAAGTGTGGGACAAATGGACAGAGAGAGAGAGAGAGAGAGAAAAGGGTGCGAGCGCGTCCAAAAGCTTGGGAGGAGAGTATAAAACAGGTGGGTGAGGACTGAAAGGCCTGGTGAGCCAAAGAGCCAGTGAGTGAATATAGCAGTTTACGTATACCGTATACCCTTACCAAGTATAACCTCAACGTTTATCATGGTAGCGGAGCATGGGTTCCAACGAGACCCCCCGGTCGCTGCCTTCGTGCATGTACTTCACCTCCACCGTGGGCGTGCGTTTCACACCGGTGACCTGTGCACCGGTGATGTAGTTCACCTCCTTGCTGTGCCGCTCCACCATCTTCTTCCAGAGCGATTGATACCCGTTCTTCAACAGGGAGACCTGTGACGTCTGACGGAAGAACACACAAAGGGCGTGTATCCGATGCATCCTTTGATAGACATGGAGTTGGTCACTGCAGCAACACCCGTGCATTGCTGCATCATTGCATATCAACAAATATCACATGATTGCGCTCCATACCACTCCATACCACTCCATACAGAACTCTCGCCTAACAAGAATTGACATATAATTGACCTTGTTCTTTGGCGGCGATGAACGCGAGGACCTCTTAAGACATCTCGATACAAGTAACTCTCCACCGGCTCCCTGGGTCCCCGGCCAAAAGCTCGTCAGAGCCCAGCATGGAACGGATGGTGCCGTTCATGACATCGGGGTGGTGCCACCAAAGAAGATAGAAAGCTGGGATCTTATCCAACAAACCATAGCCTGATCTCGCGACGTGGCGGCCAGGGTGATGGTGTTCGCACCTCTTCACCGCGTGAATCCAACACAAAAGTGTTAGGAAGGCGAACTTCATTCCTCAAATGGTTGCATAGCATCAGGTATGTGAACATCTGTGAACACCCATTGTCCCATTGCAGTTGAAAGCCTTGGTGCCTTGGAAATAGACCAAGTTCTTGGTGCATGTGAACACCCATGGTTTCAGCGTGGTTGGTCAAGCCGCCTTGGGGAGGCCCCGACCGGGGAGGCACACGCGTTCAACCCTGCAAATCTGGACCCCCTTCCCGTGCTCGATCCACGTGGTCCACCACACCGTTGCGTTGTTGTACCTTCGGGATTCCTAAGAAGTTACTGATCAAACAGTTGCCCTTTCACACCTAAGCTACATAATTAAGGGCCACATGGAAACATGTCTCATCTATCGTTGCGGGATCCGGCGATCCATCGGGTACATGTGGCCTTGCACCTGTTGGGTGTAAAGGAAGACGGGCTCCAAGATCTCAAGCCCGTTCTTTTTCAGAAACCTCAATTTGGTTGCGCAGGTGGCCAGCATCGAAAACGGTGGGAAAGAACAGGACCAGAACCGGATCTGTACTGGTCATTGCTAGCAATTCGCATGTCGTGGAAACTGTGCGGTTGCACCATGTAGAGGTCAGAACTTACCAGCTCACGTGGAGCCAAGTTTGACCACTGATGAGGGACTGGGCATGGTTATGCGTGGTTTGAGTCTGAGCCATTCAATACTTCAGTCACTTCGGTCTGGAATGGCAAAGGCCATGAAGCTGTAAATGGACAAACTACGGTGCGTGACTACATCGAGCTCTCAGAGCATCCCAACAAAATGCCCCTGCCAACCAGATCTCCCAAAAAAGAAATGACCCTGACCCGGCCAATCCATTGGCCTGACCATGCCTGCCCATGGCTCACATGGCTCATGACTCCAAGCAGGAAACTCCATGGCTGTCATGTCAATCTTGCTCCAATCTTTGGGCTTTGGCGGCATACCATACGGAAACTTCCCGAAGATGCTGTCGTGCAACCTGAGACCGGCACAAGTCTGGTCTGCGCAAGTCTGGCCCGGGTTTTCTGTGTGTTGCAAGCGAACGCCGAAGGTGAACAGGTACGGTAGCCCTCTGAAGTCTCACAGTTGTGAACATCCGGAACACCATTTTTGTAAGATGCAGATAGTTTGATCTGGATCACACATTCCATTGGAAATTGCGCCGTTGCTTCACGGTCTGCGTGTTGCTTCACGGCGCCCAGGGCGCCATAGATCTGTGGCTCCACCATGATCACGGGGGCGCACAGGGAGGATCACAGGAGTATGACTGGAAAGAACACACACACACATTGATGATATGTATCCATATGATCATGGATATATGATCTGGATCAAGAAATATGCCTGTTTGGTTCCAAAAAATGTATTACTGTATACCGTATACCTGTATTACCTGTAATTATGTTTGACTACATGCATTGTGCATTTATTGGACCAGCTGCTTATTATACTTGATCAGTGCGGCAAAGATGGGCACACTCTGGGCACTGTTGGGCAAACAGCGGCAGCATTTGCTCGTGGTTTTCATCTCCACCTCAGGGCTGCCCGAAACGCTCGTCGGAGCTATTTGGTCGAGACAGCAGAGGATGCAAGGTTCAAATGGCTCAACAAGGGACTGCACTGCCAGGAGGATGATGCAGGTGCTTTTGCTGCTAGGCATGTGACTCGACGCTGAATACTACAGTATCATAGTATCTTCCCTGCCCAGAATCGACTGCAAGCGACCCGCAGGACAAAAGTTCATCTATTCGAGCCCAAGCCACCTCCTCTAGGACCCAATCGAAATACTCCATCCCTTTGGTGTACTTCCGCTTGTCTTCATCTGATAGGTTCATTCCAAAGACCATCCGCCCCTTGTTCTCGTTGGCAAACGTGCTCTCCTCATTCGTCGGGTCATATTCCTTCAGAAGCTTGCGGATGAGCTCGTAACCTGCATACTCGGCTGAGGAAACGCCCCAAGGCCGGCTGAAGCCTGGAGTAGAACGACTACTGGATGTGAATGGGGCTTTAGCAGCCACAGGATATGAGGATATGGGGTTCACAGGATACTGGGCCAGGCCCCTCCAACAACATCATCTGCCCAGCTGCTGGATGAACCCCGGCCCGCCAATCAGTCCAATCAGTTCGGACGCCCCAAATCTGAAGCGGTCGAAACACCGGCCCTACGTATCGGAGCAGGTTGAAGAAGCTCAACGACACCTGTTGATGTTCATAGGTGGTGGATAGCTGTATGTTTAGGAACTCCTCAACCCACACCTAGCTCATCTGCTCCAAGTTGCTGGGAGACATGTAGCACGTGCCCAGCTCGTGTGGCACATCCGGCTGGGAGGGATCGATAACGGTGAGCGACTTGCCGCCTACCTGAGGCAGCTGAGATCAACGGGGGTTCTGGGACGCGGAACCCCCACCTGTGTGCCACACTTGAGCATGGCAGCATGGAAGGCTTGGTGTCCAAAGGAGTCCAAATGACAATGCATGGGAGAGTTGTGAAGTATTAATGGACCTGAAACAGACGACTTTGTAAGAAGACGTCGTTCAATTGGATCCTGGATGTCTCCGGATGCTTTGAACAAAACATCGTTCTGGCGTCATGTTGAGGTGCGCCCAGCTCCCAAAACATCAATGACCATCCCATTCAAAATAGAAAAACCATGAAGCATCTTCTAACGAAACATCACGAAACAGTCATGAAAATCGCAGCCGCCCTGCCTCCACCTCAGCCTCCAAGAGGGTGACATGTTTGAAGCCCTTGGTCGCCAAACAGGCTGACATGTGAACACCAGCAGGTCCACCACCTACGATCACCACGCGCTTCTCCTTGCTGAGCTCCAAGCATGACCTTGGAGCCGTTTTTCACACTGGGCCGCGATTTCGCATGGCGAAAGTGACGAAGAATGAGACCGTCGACCATCTTCAGGACAACCTTGTCATGAAGAACTGGACTTGGGACTCGATCTATTAATCTAAAACTTCGCATCTTCCCGCAGGACGTTGGGCCGTGTTGGGTCTTTTTTTGCCCCCCTTGCTCATGCAAGTTGGGAACCGCCAAGGTCGTCCGTGAAGCCGTGATGAACTTATGAAGTGATGAGTTGCCCTGGCAGCCGTGAACCACGGGACAGGTTCGGGGTTCAAATTGTTTTCATGCGTTGAGTCGCGTGTGAATCTATGCGGCAGTGATTGAGGTTCTTAGTTCAGAAGTGAGGGGCGCAACGAAAAATAGATGTCTTGGTAATTCACAACTTCTAAATTCTAGAGGAAGGTGGACCTACTCAAGGCTTGTGTTTTGCCGGTGGTGTTAAGACACTTCACTCTGCGGTTAAGCCGATTAAATATGGCTAAACGGTTTCCCACCCTGTCTGCTTGATTCATGGACCCCCGAATTGCCATTCCCAGTGACGGGAGCAGTTTGGCGTTGGGATTCGGAAAGTCTTCTGCGACGGAGGGGAAAAGCGCATCCAACAAACCCATGGCGTCAACCGCGGAGAGGAATCACAGCGCCGGGTCTGAATCAGATGGCTACAAAGCTCTCACTGTGCGCCCTTGCACTGACTTTCTTGACACGGCCTCTGTCTGGGCTTGTCCTAACCAAGCATGTTATACATATTACATTTAGTGTTGTTTTCCAGGGAATGACTTGAAACATCTTGAAATCAAGTGCAAGTGAACTAGCCTGGGCTCAGGTGAGTAATCAATCAACGGGCACTCAGTCTGTCAGCAGTGAATCCTCAGCAGAGATACGAAATTGCTTGTTGCAAGAGTAAAGTTCGACCATGACCAACAATGGCCTCGTCAGCGAATGGAAGAAGCCCCCCCAAACAATGACCTCTCCGACCGATCTTCAACGCAGCAACCTCAGACCTTCACAGCGACCCCATGGGCGCCCGGGCCATCAAGGAGAAGTCCAACTCGCTGCCCGACTGGAGGGGAGGGGAGGATGATCGGATAGAGAGTGGGATGATGGTAGGCAAAACAAAACGAGGTCCTCTCAGTTGGATGGACCGACCTCAGGTGTCAACATCAATGATTTTTTGGTCAAGGCCAGTTTAACGGCCATTCTTGGTGGCTTGTTTTGAGCTTGTGATGGCTTTGGACCCAGAGACGGACCAGAAGCACACTCTCGAAACAGGTTTTGATTTCATAGCTGGTAGGTAACTAGGAAAATGATTCCCCACGATGTTCTTGACTATGGAGGCTCTTTAACCCCGGCCCCATGCTTGAAGTGGATATTTGGATGAGTTTGTCAAGCGTGGACCCTGTCCAAACTTGAGGGCATCAGTTCAATCATCCAATGGGTTTGCACCTAGGATTTCAGCCTACCTACACTTGAAGGGGCTACCTCTGCATCACTTTCAGGCTCTCTATCAGTCTCTACCATGCATTTGCCAGATCTCACTCTGCTCCCCCTCCTGTCCCACACCTCCCAGACCCCTCACCTCTTAACTGGTCAGGCTGCCAGCTGATGGAATCCTCATTGCCATTCAAGTACTTGGAACCTGTCGGTCCCCAATGTCACTGGTTCACTGTGCATAGGTTCTAATTACAAGGGATTGGGATGGACGGGATGTTTGATTTCTGCATGGGTATCTCAATTGGAGCATGATCTTGACCATCAGCAGCTTAAAATACTGGTGAGGCAAGCCACCTTCGAGGTTTTTGGAATTCTATAAACATCTCGGTTGGCTCAACCCAACGGCTGCATTGACATGTCACACCACGCGTGCCTTGGCTGCATGATTCTTTTAGAAATGACCCAAATATAACTTTCCACCACACGGTGCTTTTGCCACATGAGTCAGTCACCCGAGTCATTCCTTTTCACCAGTCACCCAGGTCACCGCTCTACCGTCTGCCCAAGGTCACCGTCACTTCACAGCGTGACCGCTGGGGTTGGTGTGTTTCGGGCCATGCGAGCGGGTGCGAGCGGGCCTAGCCTGCATATCCCAGGATGAAGCTGCCAGGTACTTTGGAAGCTTTGTCCGGCAGTCGCTGGTCCTTCAGCGCGCCTGGGCGCGAAAGAACATCGACCGAGGGGCACCGGTCTTGACAAGGACTTCTTGAAGTCGGAGAGACGAGGTAGTTGTCCAAGGGACTTTCAAGTCGGCAAACTGAGCACTTTCGTCAACCTCTACTCTTACAAGTTCAAGCTCTTGCTTTGGCAACTCTCCTCGAATCCCTCCCTTGCTTTGGGCTCCGCGCTTGGATTCGCGTGGGTGACGCCGATACCCAGCCTTGGCGGTTGAACCCGTCGCAGGTCGGGAAGCCGTGGCACGCCACGGCCGATCACAAGAACTAACCCACACTGACCCACATCCGGACACATAGAATCATATAAAATCAGTAGCAGTAGCAAGACTCGTCTCCTTCAGGAGGTGCAAGACTCGCCGTGTCATCAAGCCGTTGGACCAATTTCAACATGCGACCGTCCGCACACGACCTTGTTCTGCGGCTGTTCACCCAACCCATCTGGCACACTCAACATCAAACTGCCAAAGACCACCGATCCTTGACCAAGAAAACACGGGCAAGAGATGGCAAGAGGAACTGTACCATCAGGCCGCTTCACCAACAGCATTCAGGAGTCCCAAAAAGAATGACTCTGGCAGCCCCTGTAAAACAACGCTTGCAAATGAAATGCCACGCAGCCCTTGCAAAAACACAGCACCGACCCCTGTACCCTGCTATCTCATCCTTCCGGGACCCCCTCTGCGACCCAAAGCTTGGGCGCCGGCCCACCCAGCCATCCATCGACCGTTTGCAGAACCTGGCGCGTCAGCGGTCCATTTCTGCTCCGCAGCGGCCCATGGCGCGCCAGAGGCTCTGGCCGCATATCTCGACCCCGCGTCACGGTGCCGGCCTCCACCTCGAAGTACAAGCCCTCCTCTTGCAATTGAAGTGGCCCTTTGCAAATCGCCACTGACCTGGCCACCGGACAGAAGATGACAGGCCCCAAAAAGCCGAGTCGAGCACCATCGGCTGCGTCGATGCTTCAAATCGGCTGAGAACAGCACCTCTATAGACTCTATAGGTGTGGTTTCTGTGTAGGGCTACTGATCCATCTTTCGGAGCATTCCCGTTGGAAAACTCCTGGTTTGGGTGGCAGACGGGGGGTTCCCTGTCTTTGCCAGACGGTCGGCCCGTCGGCCACAGAGATCGAGGCACTGACCAAAAGTTACACGAGGCCTACCTTCTACGCCTAGAAGTCCCACTCCCAATTTGCATATTTTTTGCGTGCTGAAGTGACAAAAAGACGTCTGATTTAGGGCGTGTCTGTGCACAAACTGGTGCGGCAGAATCCCAAAACCACATCTTAGGGTCACACTGGACCCCTTGCAAACAAGGATCACCTGGTCACCCTGGTCACCTGGTCCTGCCCTTGGTCGAGGACCACCCGACCAGGCACCCCCACTCACGGCAGCCGCAGCTCCGTGTCGCCGTATAGCCATCCGGCGACCTCATTGGGTTGGGGTGGGGGGGGTCACCCCCAGCAGAGGCTGAAGAACCCTATATAGACTATATCCTATATAGCTACCCCAGTAGGATCCTATGAGGTCACTCCACCTCAGTTGGTGATCAAGACGCGTGGAAGTCACAGTTGGCCGACTGTTCCAGAGGGAACTCTTCTTGTCTGAATTGTGACACCAAAAATCACGTGACCAAAAAGAAGAAGAAGCAAACTCCCCTTCCAGAATGCTTTGGCTTTGCATGATTTCCGTTCATTTAGGCCTGTCCTACCTGGAAAAAAACGCTGCACAGAAGTCTTTTGCATCTTTGGCTGGTTCCTCACCTTTCTGTCAAAGCAAACCAGACCGCTGGCCCCGCCACCGCAAACAACGCCGCTCCGCCCGCCCAACGGCGCGGCGGCGCGCTCGTCTGGTGGCCCAACAGCAAGATGTTCAATCCCACCGTCTCATGACCTGAGTCTCAGTGGATGCCCCAGACGTGTGCAGGAAAAAACGGTGGATGAACAACGATGCCCGTGGATGCTGGTGTTGCAATGTGTTCGTCCAACTGGCCCCTGTCCTGCCATGGTTGCTGGTGAATCTCTCTCTCTCTCTCTCTCTCTTCCCCCATTCCTGTTCCTGTTCTTGTTGATCTTGTTTTTGGTAGTGCTGTTAGCATCAGTATTATTAGTATTTGGCATTTCTCCTCGGTAATTATTTGTTTAGCTAGTTAGGTTAGTTGCGGTTAGTCAGTCCGTCAGTCAGTCAGTCAGTTAGTATGACTTGAGGCCAGAGGGGGTGAACGAAAGCTAGCCGGGCCTCCTCGTCCAAACAAGTCGGGGGCGGGCTGCACAGTCACTCTCATTGGGTAACTGCCGGTCCACTTGCAAGTCCCGTGGGAAACTCTAGAGAAGCAGTGTTAGTATGTTGCTGCTGCTGCTGCGGCGGTGGGTGCTCTGCTGCTGCTGCTGCTGCTGCTGCTGCTGCGGCGCTGGTTGGTATGCTGCTGCTGCTGCTGCTGCTGCTGCCGCTGGGTGGTCTGCTGCTGCTGCTGCTCGTGCTGCTGCTGCTGGTGCTGCTGCTGCTGCTGCTGCCGCTGCTGCGCTGGGCGCTGCTGCGCTGGGTGCTCTGCTGGCGCCGGGTCGTCTGCTGCTGCTGCTGCTGCTGGCGCTGGGTGGTCTGCTGCTGCTGCTGCTGCTCTGGGTCTGCTGCTTCTGCTGCTGCTGCTCCTTTGTGGTTTGCTTGGTGGTAGACTGCAAATGCTTGGTGTGCTGCAGCTGCTTGGTGGTCCCGCTCACCGCGCGCAGGGGGGAGTCGAACCCCGGGGGGGGGGTCCATAAGATTGATTAATCAATTATTTGAGGTTTCTGAGGTGCGTCCACCCCGTCACTTAACTTGCTAAAGCAAGAGCAACTCCAGCTAGCTAAGGCTAGCTTTCGTGATTAGTTGGTTAGTCAGTCAGTTAAGTTCTGTTGAAATATTTGCTTAGTTTGTTAGTTTGGTTTAGACTAGTTATGTTTACATGGTTAGTTTAGTTAGTTAGATTGTTTGTTTAGGTGTGCTTAATTGTGTTTAGGTTAGTTCAGGGTAGTCAGGTTAGGGTAGCTTAGGTAGTTAGCTAGTTGGTTAGTTAGGTTAGTTGGTTAATTGGTCAGTCAGTTGGTTGTTAGTTAGCTAGTTAGCTAGCTAGTTAGTCAGTTGGGTAGTTAGTTCGTTAGTTGGATAGTTAGTTGCCTAGTGTAGATTGGTTTGTTTAGTTAGCTTCCTGACTTACTTAGCTAGTTAGTCAGTTAGTTAGCTAGCTGATCAGCTAGCTAGCGGGTGAGTGAGCCAGTTAGTTAGCTCTAGCACTAGTAGAACTAGTACTAGTACTAGAGGAGGAGGAGGAGGAGGGGGGAGGAGGAGGAGGATTATCAATAGAAGTAGAAGTAGTAGTAGTAGTTGTAGTAGTAGTAGTAGCCGTCGTCGTCGTCGTCGTAGCTGTTGAGCAAAAAGAGCTGCTCTCGTGCAACATTGATGGATTGCACCTTTCTGCCTTTGAAGTGGCCTCCTGGAATCTCCTGGACCTATCAAGAAAACCACTGTCCAGAACACTGGAGACCTTTCAAACTCCCAGAAGCACGGGCACATTTTTGGTCAGATGTTTGGCTGGTCCAGCGGCTGGCTCAAGTGTC